GGCTCCATTTTGCTTCACTGTAAGTTCAGATAAAGGTGTCGAAATTGACATAAATATACACTCAAATATTGTAGGTGTTTCATGTTCCTTGCTGATAATTTGTATGTTATTGGGAGGAACTCTCTGCTACTTTCCAGTCTTGGCGTCTTCAAGAAACCCAACACCTCACTTTATAACATCTTTCATGATTTCATTCCCATTGACAGTTTTAATGGCATTGTTGGCTATCACCATGAATCTGACAGTGAACCGACATAAGTTTGGTGAACTTTCGAGAAAGTTAAACGATATTGACAGAGCTCTACTGAAATATGGCGTCTCGAAAAGAAACGTTTGGTCAAATATTGAAATGGTTCTGCTACTTCTGATTCTGATACCTTGGTTGTGCGTTGATGGTTGGCTGTGGACTGACAGGATGGGCTTCGTGGGCGAAGCAACCCTGAGACTCTCTCATCTGGTTCAGATCCTCGTCATTATACAATTTTGCAAATTGACACAATTTGTTTGGCAGAGTTCTAAGTTTCTGAACAAAGCTCTTCGCGTAAGCGTTAGACACGATTATGAAAGATATCGTGTGATTGAAAAAGAATTTCTAAACAACCCATGTTCAAACATGAGTTCTGTTAACATTATATCAATGACTAGACGTCTGCCAAGAACTCATAATTTTCCCATTGTTGAGAATGTTTTTCAGCGCAGGGCGACTGATAAACCAAAAGCATTTTTAAATTTGCTGGAAATTCGGTGTATTTATGGAAATATTTATGAAGCTGTAGGTTTTATTAATTCAATTTATGGCTTGTCTGTGCTGTTAGAATTAGTTAGAAATGTTCTAACAGTTATTGTTAACATATTGCAAACAATGGAGGTTTTAAAGAAACCGTCGCTTTATGGGCGTCCTTCACTCCTCTATGCATCTTTGGGAGTACTCTGGATTGTATTTTTGATTTCTCGGGAAGTGGCCATTGCTGTATCATGCCACATGGCAACATCTGAAGCTAAGAAGATACAGGACAACGTACAATGTACATTGTTACGTCAGCATCTAAGGACTGAAACATTGGAACAGTTGAAGCTGTTCTCAACGCAACTTACAGTGAACAGAATTGAATTCTCAGCCTTTGGATTCTTTACACTGAACCTATCAACACTGTCTACATTCCTGGTATCTGTTATAACTTATATTGTTGTACTTGAACAGATTAAATAACCGCTGCTTTTAAAATATCATGTAGACTTTGTATTACAAAACCTTTCCACCTATGTATTACAGAACTATGCTAGGGATATTATGTTTCTTTGTAAAATTGGGGTAATTTTCGTATAGGAATTTTGTTGCTAAGGAGATAATATTTGAAACAGACAGACCAACTTCTTTTCTAACAAAATGTTGACGCAACAAAGAATTTGTTACGCGATATTTTTATTCTTGGTATGAAACTTAATTTCGAGGAAAGCAGTCCGAAAGTCCGTGATTCCGTGATATATATTTTATCTGGAAGATGGATAGTCAGAAATATAAGGTGTGCTAATAAGAAAGGTAAGCTCAGTAGACGCTGATAATTTTTTTTACATTATATTCATTATCTTCGTTTAATTTTAGGCTAAACTTACTTACCTCTCTTGTACGACGTGAATACTCAAATGTACAAATGTTAACGATCTCTCACCCCCTGCAACGGGATTTGGCTAACCCTTTCGAAAATGCCCTGGTCCGCCACTGCTTATATATTTTGTGTTTGATCTTTTCATCGGTGTTGACCTGACCTGTCACATACGTAAAAGTTTGTTACACGCAAATGCCATGAGTAATCGAGTCATAACAGATCAATATAGGTTCACACAATTACTGTTGCACTTCTAGTATTGTCCCTGGTAATCATTATGTCGCTTGAAAAATGTAAAACTGATATCACCGTGTTAGATTACTGTCTTCTGGGCTCTGACCATAATCGCCCTGATGATGGAGGCAACAAGGATTACTGAAATATTTGTAATCTTCTATCAGACTACACGGCGCTACAACCCAGAAGACAGCCATTTTCGTTCTTACCGCCATGAACACATCCATTCGTACGTAATATTGCCCTCGTTTCTTTGAACTCAATGCGTAGAAATATGTTAACAATAGACTACTTAAATGCGATAATCCTGGCCGTTTGACGTCCAGAGAAGATTGCAGGAAATGTAAGCCCGTTTACAGGGAACGCTGTTAACATAAAACGTACATAGTCGAAGTTCAAAAGTTTTCGATCATGGCGCGTTATAACGTTTAAAAATGTACTTTTGTCCACTGTTTAAATTACAGAACCACAAAGTTCCGAAATCAAGATTCTTCGTTAGTCATCGGATAAAAGGATTAAGTCTAAATTCCGTTAAAATAAAATTTAAACACTAAGTAAAATTGAAGGCAAAATTTTCCATCTTACTTATTAACGAACCACATCATGATGTGTTGACTTTGAAAATTAAATTATGGCCACTACATTAGGCGTATCCTGATTCACTTTAACACCATTTCATATTTTGACAGCATGTGTGTCATAGTTCAGTGAAAAATACTCTCTCATTTTGCCTAGATGAGCCTCGTATTATCATGCAGTTTACTAACCGACACGCCTTAGCCTCTAATTTGTTCTGGTAGCACACTTCTTGTTTCTCCAACCTATAATATACGCCAGTTACTAATATATCAAATATACAATAAATATATACGTGTATCATATAAGTTTCTTGCTTAATTATTAGTGTATGACAACTGCAGAAAAATTAGTCATGATGTGACTGATGGGACATTATCTTTTGTTCTGTGGATCACATTTTTAAATGAAGGACAATGTCCGGCCGTAATTATTTGTTGGATTCAGAGGAGACAAGTAAGTCATTACAGTGACAAATCTATTGAACGATGAAACAACATGATACATTTATTTTATAGTTAATTATGATGTTTACTGCTTTGTTTGGATATCCAAAACAACGCAGTCAGTAACATTCTATCACGGACAAAATACGCAGATGCCCCCTTATACATTCTAATGCGCAAGGAGATAGCAACTCGCGTCTCGACAATACGTTATACCTTCCAGATACTAAGAACGCAAGGATCTGAAACACTGTTTTGTAGAAGAATTTGGAATTGTAACTGGGGACAAAGATGAAGGTTTTGCCGTTGTGTTTGATGGTAACTTTTTGTAGTGGATTTAATACAGACGCATTTGTGGGGACTGTAACGGCAATTAAACAGCACTTCCGTTCACGATTTGTCTATCTGCTACATGATCAACCTATCGGTGAGTGTTTGTGTGTGTAAGAGCACTACTTGAACATTTCCGTCTTCTGGGTTGTTGCGCTGTGTAGTCTGGTCGATGTTAACCAACGTTTCAGAGGTCATACTTCCTCCGTCATCAGGGCGATGAATCTTCATACTCACCGCTGAGAAAACCTCAGATCTTACAAGAGTAATACATATTATTTCATAAACTGTAGACTAGTTAAGCACAATTATGTCAATTTTGTAGGTGCGAATTAGCCTGGTAGCATAGAGTTCATTTTTTTGTCATGCTTAATTTTTAATAATTAAACATTAAAACATGTTTAAATCTGTTGTATATGATATAACAGAGTACTAATGAAAATATTAAGAATTAAAATTTAAAATTTTGACAGAATTGACAACGTTTGAAAATGGTTTAAATGTTTTCAGTTTTCAGAACCCTCTGTGAATTAATTCCGAAACCTTTTTTTGTCCATTTGATGGGCTTTCTTGGGTCATCCCATTCAAATGCGCCTGTCTACACACGGCGGCATATCACAGAGAGGCGTGAACTTAGTCTATACATACACACCATACATCACTCTGCCAATGTGATGATTCACGATTTGTACTCTTGATTTAACACGGTTAAAATAAACAAAATAAGATAAATAGGTGGGACTTTAAGCATGACTTGACATTCATAAATGTGTTTACATATATCTTCAAGTGAAGAAACCTCATAGCCAAGACCTACAATAACCGATCCTTTTGGCAAGAATTAATACCCGGAACATCTGAAATACGACACGAGTACTAATCACTTTACCGCGACGTTCGATCCCATTTAATGATAGATGTTTTATTACAGTCGATCTCTTTCTATGATCGACATTTCATTACTATCAATATTTTATTTGTTTTTGGTTTCCGTAACCGGAACGGACGGACCGACAGAAGTATATTTCTTATTCGGTAACGGGGTACAAATTAATACGTTCTCCTTCGAAACAAAAAATAAGGTATTTTCTTCCGTGCATCTGTATGTACAAATATTAAGTACCATATTTCACGTCTCTCAATCAGTTATTGATGTGTCAGTTATGTACTAGTAAGAAATGGGGCTGTTATCCTGTTTGAGCTAGTCAGGCAATATATATTAGCGAACAAATTAATATGTTGCATGTCATAGGACGGTTTATAAACCTCTAATCTATGAGATTTGAAGTTCTTATGGCGGTGAATATGTTTATTGCTGTCATAACCCAAAAGACCACAATTTACATTTTTTTAATTGGCACATAGCCTCCATCATAACTTGTTGTCCCCTTCCTTCTGTTGGATTTTTGGAAACAAGAAGCATACGAGAGTTAATGGCCTTTTATAACAGATAGACGGAGAAAATTACATAACGCATTGCATATGCTCTGGACCTATCGTTTATCAGGAGGAACTTCAGTTCAAGTGTCATGACAAGCGACCGCTTGATTAATGTTTTACTGTATTGGAGAATAATATTAAAACGAATCATATTCAAAGTAGGATGCTATGTAAGAAATAAACTTGTCTTTAACTATATTACGGAAGGTCAATTTTAAAGATATTGCAATGATTCTGTTGATGATGTGCGACTAACATTACAGATCCTTAAGTCCAGTTAGTTGGTCATTATGTTTTAGTTATCGTAAATCAATTTCTTACTAACAAAATTCAGTAACAACTTTATTCAACGGCGTGTTCTTAGGGCTGCGACAACATGCGAAGTCGAATGATTTTACAAAGAGATTTAGCGGAAGTCACGTGACCGTAGCTGTCCTCTCGACCCCCAGGATCTCCGATTCTCTGGATGGACTACATTGTGGACTGAAAACCTGCCTGTTGGTTATACCTCACGGCTTGCAAGACATCAGAATTTCTTTGGTTAAGGTACTTTCACACATGATTTGTTTATATTTAGTGCTTCAATTTTAATGTTGTTTCAGTGGCCTCATTTCTAATTGATTTCGTGAAGGAATGGCCGGACACTTTCTAGAAAAATAAAGAAACACTCCTTCAATAAGTAGAGTGGTAAATTAAGCAACTTTTGCAGATATTACCAGCTTTACGAAACGAAAATACTACTAAACGTTATCGAAAGTACGAGTTATTTTATAATGCCGCTTTGTGACGTTCTAAACATTCCTTTCTGTGTGGAGTGGAGGGGTTAATATAATCCGAAACACACGCGCTTTCTTGCCGTCAGTTGGGTTCAGTGTAACGTGGGATACAGCAGAAATAAGTTTGTCCCTTTCATACGTGATCATTTGGAATATCATTCTGGTGATTCTAACTTGAAATTTCTATCACATGAAGCAATCCAGAAGGTCACATTTATATAGGCCGAAAAATGTTTCTTAAACGCCACTTAGAATTCGTAATTAACATCTCTCATCAATTAAATTGCGTCGTAGAACAGACCAAGAAGCCACGAAGAAAAATTACTCTTGTGTTTAAACTCCGCTCTCTAAAGGTTAATCAGTTTAACGATTTGGCCGATTTATCTCTACTGAATATTACATCCCCCCTCGGTACAGACTGGATTAGAAGCTGGATGGATCTCAAAATCTGTCTGGACGTGATGGCGAAGAAGGTTTCAGCTGCTGCTGGGTCTCGAACCTCGTCCAACTGGTAGCCAGAATCATTGTTCTGACCAAGCTATACGTAAACGTACTTAAGTCGGTGTTAAAATAGTGAATTATTTTTAATTACATTATTCACATTAACTGAAGTTCGAGGAATTTGAATAGTGGCTATTATATCATCCAGTCTGAAGCTTCGAGATTAGTCTTGTGCGGCTACTGTGTATTTGAAATGGTGTGAGATGCTGTCTCTTTTAGATTTCATCAAAACTACACATGTCGAGTGTGAAATGGCTCTTATTTCTGGAAAATAACACTTCCTTAGAGGAGTTCTTTACCGACATTAACATCCCCTTCGACTGCGAGTTCCTGGTGGCTCAGCCAGAAGGTGGCCACGTCGTCGGTTTGACCGAAGTGTACCGTGTTAGCCCCAAACTTCCTCTGCAGACATACCGTTTCGGCAACTGGACTCCTGATGGCGGCCTTACCTGGCCAACAATGAAACTTTATGAGAGGAGGAACCATCTTCACGGAATTACCCTCAAAACAGGCGCTTTGCAGGTGTGTAAATTAGTGTGATCTTGCCATCACCTGCTTTAATTATCAACTTCCGTAATGTGGATTTTACTGATTATCAGATGATCTGTAATGTATGTGTTATGAATTTATTTGGTGTTCCTCAACATCATCACAGATAGCTTTAAAAGATGATTCGCTTTTAGGCCCACAAACAACACCAGTGATAGGAAGAGTCACTGCTTCTATTTCAGTACAGTTAAAGAAAAATATTTTTGAATTCTATGCGATGTAATTTACTCTGTAACTGAAAGGGAGTTTAGTTTTTCTTGCCAGAAACTTCACATCGGTTGGGTCGTTTGTTTCATGTAAAATGGTTTTATTGTATATTTTCAGTCATTCGTTTCCTTCAGAAAAAATAAAGCTGTTTGGAACTCGATATCACAGGGATTCTTCATGAAGCTATGGCCGCTAATAAGACGGGAACTGAACTTCTCGCAAGTATATTCGTTTTAAGTTTACGTCTTTTTAATTTACTTCTCTCATTTCAACGCACATTTTGCGTGTGCTAGAACGCTCTGTGAATGAAGATTATGTGTCACGTAATGCAGTGTATGTTTCACGCTTTCAGATGTTATTATTATTTTAATGGACAGTTGTAGTGTAGGTAGAGCTATTTCCAATTTGCATCGTCCAGCAGTCCTATAATAAGTCTGTCTGTGTATTTTATGGTTAGCGTCTTTAGAGGAGTTAATAACAAATATTTATTTAGATTTTACGTAATTACGAAAGTTAGTTTTCGACAAAACAGTGAACACAAAATTATCAGTCCTATATATTTCATACTTGGTAAGCCCATGAACTCGTCAACTACGAAAGCAATTCCTCCACAGTACAAAACACCTCAGCAGCCAAGGGTTGGAAATCAGGCATATATTTTTAAACTTAAATTATTGTAACCACTTCACGGAACGCTCTTTAAAAAAATGCAGAAATCTGTTGAGATTTATATAAATGGTTTAGGAATTAAACTGCAAGTACTTCTTTACGTTCTTGGTACTGCTTGTACGTTACGAGGTGTCTCCTGTCTACATAGAATTCACCTCTATGGCAGTAAAGACGGCGACATTACAGAGGGCTTCATGACCCCCGACGGCTTTTGGACTGGGGTCTACGGCTTGCTTCAGAGGCGTGAAGTGGAGCTCGCCTTTTTGCCTATCACGATGACATCCTCGAGGATTGATATTATGGACTTCACTGTACCATTAATGGAAATGAGGTATTGGATTCAAATAGTACTCTGAGGTTTACAGTTTAACGTATTTGAATCAGACTTAGAATGGTATCTTATGGCATGACGTAGCAGCTGAAAATTCCAGGGTGACAGTGCTGCATAAAACAGTACCACCATTGTTTTACGCTGTTACTTTTAACTATAACTTGAGAACAGACGACTTTAATACTGACAGACTGATAACATGTTACCATCCTGTGCCTGCACACACATAACTAACCCTGCCTTGAAGAGATGATAGTTGCTCAGTTGATGAAGATATTCACTGCTTTGTGAAGCCTGCTTACAAAATCCTTTGGATGAAGTTCCACATGCTTTAACATGTCCAGTAGATGAAGGTGAATGTTTAGCTTTATGCTCCGGCTGCTTTACTCACCAGGGGAAAGGACCCAATACTCATTACATAGGAGAATCAGAAATACCGAGAGCCGGTCTGGAGGCAGTGGTGGCGAAGAAAACTCTTGCCTCAACCGGGAATTCTGCCCCAGTCATCCACCTCGTATGAAGTAACTTCGATGACTCGTATTTTTCTTTACTTCTCTGTTTGTCAGAACATCAGTGATCATCAAGGAACCAGACTCGTATGAAATGCAGTGGAACTCAATTTTGGTGCCATTTACTTGGCAGCTCTGGATTGCTGTTTGCGTTGTTATGGTACTGCTTATAGTTTGCCTGGCAACTACACATCGGTTGAACTGTCACTATGAAAACGTCGAGGATAAGGATTTCGGGTTCATGGAAGCAATTTTTATTGTTTACGCTGCTTTATGCCAACAAGGTAAGTAAATACGTTTCTACCTGCCTAGCTTATGCCCACTGACAAACAAAATTACTTTCTTGTGTGAGAAACGTACGGACTGACATTCGGTGTTGCTAACCTATTATTTGACCTTTCTAGAGTTTTTCTGTCCAATCTGCCAAATATATACTAAAATTGGCTCACAGAATAATTAAGAAATCTACAAAGTAACAGACTCATTAACTAACAGATTGACCATACAGGCGACCAAAAAATGTTTGGTCGAAACCACGATGTGTTATATCTGCTAAGACAGTCTGTCTAGTTGTTCACCCATTCGCAGCAACATACCAGACGAAGCGTTTAAATATTTACGTATGAATTCCTTCTTAAAACAGCAACCATCATTCTGAATCTATTTATTTCTTGTGTCTTGCGAGCTTCGTATTAGCTAATTGTTAACAGCACAGAAATGTAGGTCATTAATTTCTTATATGCTTTTATGAACACGTTTATTCGAGAAAATATTCTCGAAGCTGTCAAGCCCGTATCTGTTGTGGCGCCAGTCCAATAACTCATTATTTCTTTGGGCTGAGAAAGCCGGATCGTGAGGCTGACCGACTATGGTATTGGCGTCGTTCTCCCATCGTGCATCGTCCCTCTTACCGGAAATCGAACTCAGGAAATACTTTCCTATGTTTTAACGTTACTATGTTCTCTTCCTGGTGTCAAGTTTGGCGCAGATCAGTTTGTCCGTTCTCGAGCTATAAGCGAAGAAATGCATTAACACAGTTTCATCTTTGTAAGATATTTATTTGAAAGATGGCACAGTAGCTTTCAAAGGAAACGTGTCTCTTCACAGGACACAGCGACACTCCCAACTCGACTTCCGTCCGAGCAGTCTTCGTGACGTCGTACCTGACCGGAATGTTCCTCCTCGGTTGCTATTCAGCAGCCTTTATCACTCACCTCACGCTGAGGGACCCTGTTTTGCCCTTCACGGACTTCAAAGGGTTGCTCGAGGACGGCTCTTACCGGCTTGGCATGGCTCTGATCAGCGCTCAGCTTGAGTACTTCAAAGTGAGTAGCTCACTCGCTGACTTCAGTATTACCGGATTTATACACTTTGCCCATCATAAATTAGTCCTACAAGAGAACAGCTTTTCGAAAACTGTTGTTGTTACTATCCACACGTGAAGGCCAGGGAGTAACTGTTGTGTTTAGTCCGTTAGAAAAGGTAACCTCATTTACTTGGCATCCATAGTCACTACTTTATAAGCCATTAAAATCATTTATTTTCAATGGAATTAATACTAAGTCTTTCTTTGCTGCTTTCAAATTGTATAGTTCGAATCTGACAGGGCTGCTGTAATATTTTCTGTAAATAACATACATTATTGACGGTATCTTTCTGCCTTCCGGGAAAGTTGCAAATTTAACTATCAGTCTTCGTTATTTTATAGTCCTAATGTAAGCTTCGAAGATCCAGCAGCCCAGTGAGATATTTGTTTCAGAACTCAAGTAACGAACTACTGAGAGACATCTACTGGAAGATGATTGCTCCACATGAAGCAACTCTTGAACTTACCGATTTTCCGGGACTACAGCGACTTTGTTACGACAGAAATTACGCTCACTTAGCGTCTGATTATATGCTCGTGTTGCCAGGATATTTACCACAGTGCAGCATTACTCTGGTCCCACAAGCTTTCTACCCTGGGACGATGGCACTCGCCACAGTGAAGAGAAGCCCTTATCTGGGACTTCTGAATTACATGTAAGCTCTCATGTTCTTTCCGCTAGCATTTATAATAACTGATTGAATTTGAACGTATGTGCACTCATGTTTACAGTGCACTGAAATTCTGTTGCATAACTTGCATACTGTTGCTTGCACTTTATTTATCCCTGTTCCACGTTCTGTGTACTTACGAAGAGTTAAGAGCCGTACTATTTATAGAAGGGGAAATTTCTATATTCATACATACCATAGAATTGATTTTAATATATTAAGTATTTTAATCTTAATAAACATTGTTTTTACTTATAACAGTTACTCGGTTATAGTAAATGCTTGTCTTCAACAAACTTCGAATTACCGACTGATATACCCGTCAATAAAACGGCGTATTAGCTAATCTGTCTGACCAGACTCCTAAGTTATATTTGAATGATTAGCTCCTACTTCGTATTATGAGGACATCGATTTCTGTTCTATGCCACAAGGCTGCAAACTTGATAAAAGTTCTTCATGG